GAATAGATAATACGAAAACTTGTTGTTCGACCAATCTCTCGGAGAAGGAGAGGTCGATCGATCACTTCTCCCGGTATGCATGACAGACTTCTATACTTAATGGTTCCCTTCATTTTCTTACTAGCTAGCGTGTCAAGGGTCTCTCTATGTACAGTACGTAGCGTCGATCAAGCACGGACATAAGAGAGGACACTTCTCTTTATTAATTAGCTAGCTAACATAATATATGAAACACCTAAATTAACCCCTCAAAACCCCCAACCCCCCCCTTCAAAAAAAAACAAATACCCCAGTCACTGAAATGCTGACGCGTGGATGCCTTTTGGTCCCGGTTGGTGCCACCAACCGGGACCAAAGGCCCTCCTGCCTGGGATCGGCGCACCGGCCACGTGAAGGCCCATCTGTCCCGGTTCGTGTCAGAACCGGGACTAAAGGTCTAGGGCATTAGTAACGACCTTTTAGTCCCGGTTCAAAAACCGGGACAAAAAGCCCTCACCAACCGGGACTAATAGGGGTTTTTCTACTAGTGTATGCATGCATGGAGGCTCAGCGAGGAAAGAAGAATCGACTCAAGAAATAAACAAGTCAGTCAAATTACATGGCGAGCTTTTACACACGTAGAATCAAAGGTTACAATTTTTACTGACCCAAATAAAATATTTAGTTGCCTCCTCGAAATATCTAGTAAGTCCAGCACAAGAAAAAATGAACATTGTTTTACAGCAAAAATAGATTAGTCCAGTCTATGGAGGGATAGATCCTATCCGCAGATTACACTCCATCCATGAAAAACCTCCGTGACCATATGCTCATGCTCCAACCGTGTAGTTGCATAACATATAGCTGAATAAAAAAAATCTTTAAACGGTCAGTCATCTATACTACTATTAAAAGACCGAATTTGAGTTTTTCTAAACCCACCCCATAAAGCGTACACAGGATAAGCAGAACCCTTCGATCAAATTAACTTAAACACATCCCACCGTCTACATCACGTTAATAGTCTGCCAATCAGATCAACGACTCAGATGAAATGTTCTGCCAAGCTGACGGCGTGGTTTGCCAATCCTATTAGCGCTCCGCGGCCCCTCGTGCAACAAGCGGATCACCCACCGGCCCGCAACAGGGGGATCGATTCCAGCCGCCTCCACCTCCCTCCTCTCTCCTCGTTGCCGCTACAGAACGCCGCCGGGGTCGTTCTCATCCCACGAGCAGCGTCGGCAACGCGCGACGCAGCGGGCTCAACTTGCATCGGCGGCGCCGGTGTCCCTCTCCTCTGTCGAGCGTGGGCGGCGGCGGCGCAGGATGTAGCAAGCTGAACCTGCGTCGGCGGTGGCGGCGATGGGTTCCGCTCCTCCATCCCCTCCTCCTCACGCCGCCCCTCTCCCTTTTCTTGCTTTCCTGCACCGGCAGAGAGGAAGACGCCATCGGCTTCATGGCCTCATCTCTAGGGCCAAGGGGTGGCTAGACGACTCTCCAGGTGGGCGGCGAAAAAAGAAGCCGAGAGGAAAGGGGAGGCGGAAGAAATCCGCCCACACGCCCTCGTCGTCTCAGCGTCTTGCTCTACCTGATGGTGTTGTATGATCGGTAGGACAAGGGAGCCCGATTGCTGGCTGATATCAAACGCCTTCTCCCTGAGATCATGCTCCTAGGTGCGTGGTGACCTTACCTGTTACTGTGCTTGAATTTTCTGGTTCAGAACATGTGTGTTCAATCTAAGTGCTCAAATGTGAGGTTGCAAGTAGATGCTTGTTCTTTTTTTTCATAGAAACTCTGGGAATGGATGAAAGTATTTCTGAGCTTTCTAAACTCTAGGAACCACTGAAAATTTTGGCGCTGCAAGGGAAATATACAGTATACACTGTTGTGTTTACGCATCCTCATTTGGCAAGAGTTAGCATATTACTTACTATTTGTCTTTGTATGACAGTACTCGCATTAGTTGATGTATAATATGTCTATGTTTTACCAATGAGTTATAATGAGATTTCATTCTCCTGTTGGCTGAATCAACACCACTTACTGGGATCTGACTTGTTTGGCAATGCTTTTCTATCGAGCATATTAAGAGATCCTCATTTGTCTATCGTTTTTATTAAGAAATGAGGAATCATTTAGTAAGAATTTGTAACTGGTTCAAGTACATGACTGCCAAGATACGGTGTGTTCGACAACACATCTTCTGTCAAGTTGCTAGGAATGTTGCCTGTACTCCGTGACAGTGTCACAACATTGGATTCATGCATTCAATGTCCTCTTGGATCCAGGTTAGAATAAAACTAAATGTGTTCCTTTAAATTGCGTAGTTGCCTGGTTTCTTTTTTGCAAATAAAAAATGTGTTCCTTTAATTTGGTGTATGTACTTGTTTTTCTGTAACCTATCATCATTTTCTTCTTTTTTTGCGCTGAAATAAAATGCATTCTTTCATACCAAAAATTGCAAGAGCACACGAGCTGTACACATGTCCTTCCTTTTTGAATCTGCAGCCGCTTGCTTTGATTGTTATTTTTGGAAGGGTGTAGGCGAGTATGTCACAAAGGTAACACTGATCTGCTCCACACTTGTTATTTTCTTTTTCTTGGTAATTTGTAGTTCCTTTGATGTTCTATTTTTTACACCACTTTTCTGCATTACAACCTTTTCTTTACAGGGATACGTACCAAATATTCAGTCAATTATAGCGTGAATTGCATAGCCTGCAACATTTTCCTACAACCAATAGAATCTATGATCCACTCGAATTACAATACAAGACACACTCGAATTCAGAGTTTAGAGCCTCATGAGCAATGTTGTAAGAGCTTGTTGATGATCTGCTTGTTTCTCGCAAAATTGGGACGTGTTGGATGGCCCATGCGAGGCTATCCAGAAAAAATTCCTCTTAATTCTGTTCTGGTTGTATGATGGGATTTGATTAGATAAGAACCCACATCTGGCGGCACCGTCCATCTCATGGCGCCCCCGTCTCATGGCGTCCAATAACCAACGGTATTTTTTTTTCAATTGGTATTATTTCTTTGCTGATAATATTTATTATTGTAGATGGTGTGATCTGATGATGTATCCTGGATACAATTCAGTTAAATAAAAGATGCAGCGGTCACTCCTGTACAATATGATCTGTAGTATAGCCAGTTCTATGTGAGGGCAATGTGAACCAATGTAAAGCACTAGGTTCTTCATAAATAGCGCTTGACACTTTGTTGTGTATTTTGGAGCTATGAAGAATTTAGCTTTGTAGGTGCCATTGGTTTCTGGTATAGATGAGATCCTTGATGCCACAGGTGGCTTGTCTTTGAAAATTGTATTATTATTTATTACTGTGCTGCAGTAAAGCTTTCTCTTTTGTGTAAAACTCTAACGAACCATGTGCTCTTATTATTTGGGCGGTAATCTCATGCTGGTTAAACTACTTAATGTGAGGGTGAAATACCAAAGTGGGCAAACTGCCTTGTGTCAGGTTCCAAGGAATATGCAGAATATAGTTCACGCATATTGCGTGTATATGCAGAATCACTGTTTTTTCAGTGCATATTACAGAGTAAGACAAAGTTGATGATTGAACAAGAAAATAATGGTGTTTTCTTTGCATAAAATAGACAACTTCAATGATACAAGTATATGACATTTCATTCCATAGGCTTCAGAGTTCGGACCATCACCCACGAGAACATGCAAAGTGTCAACATTTTCATTGCAGATCTTGATTAATTCTCCACATGACACAGATGCAGCATGCGCACACAAAAAGGAAGGCAAAATTCAGATACAAAGAGTACTTTTCTTCTCTTACTCCTTGTATGCTTTGCAATCTTCAAGACCATTGCTCTTTGTTGGTCCATGTGAGGCTATCTGCTTTATTTCTTCCTTTTGGGCGATCCTCTTGGTTTTGCTCAGTAATACTTGTTGGTTGCAGTTCTATTTTGTGTGAATAAACTTCATGGAAGCCTTAAGGAACTTGGAGGGAAAGTGGATTGTGCACCCCCCCCCC